ATTAGTGTGACTATACAACAGTCCTACTCTATATGTATAGGAGATTACCCTTATATGGTCTTATTGTATGTTTGCACTGATCGTACGGTTTGCATTCCTTCATCAGTCCCACCATCACACCAGATGAACGCCATACTCGGGATTTGCAAGTAGTTCTTCCTAATTGGTGCCCCATGGGTCATATTATGCGTACAAATTTCTTTGTACTTCCAATCATCATTGGTATAAACATAGATTACAGCGTCCGTTACGCCTAGCATACCCAATTAAGTTGACATATTGGAGATATACAAGTTTTTTGATATTCAATAATCGTCGCAGGTAGGAATTGAACTCTAGACCTGCTACTTGGGGGGTGACAACTTGACCACTTCACTAAGTCGCCACACCCTCGATTAATATAATATCAAATTTTTGAGTTAAATAGTATCAAATAATATTTGTTTTTTTGTTATTTGATTAAGTTTTTGAATATTGTATATAGTAATTGTAAATAGTTTTGTTATAAACTATATTGTTATTTATCTGTTAATTAGTATTTATTAGTATTATGCTAATATAGTAATAGAAGATAAGTTTGTATAAGAAAATATTATTTAAAATAAGACTAGTAGTAGAGGTAGGTTAAGTAAATACTAAGATAGTTTTGACTATAAAGTATTGATATAATGTTTGCATAGTAGAAATAACTATACTTGTAATATAGTTGATAAGGTTAGCTATATTCTATAGGAGTCTAGAACTATATTAATATTTTTTAAGTTGTCTAGTATAGAAAAAAAAAATTAGCTAGCAGTATTTATATTATTAGATTTAGTGTTGTTATTAGCCTTAAGGCTAATATTTTTTAATTAGTCTTAGCTCTTGTTTAATTAGCCTTAGTCTTAAGTCTAATTAGCTTTAGCCTCAAATCTAATTAGCCTTAGCCTTTAGCCTATATATTTAAGATTGTTTTAGCCTTATATTTAATTAGCTATATCTAATTAGCTATATCCAATTAGCTAGTTGGGTTAGAGATTGGTTGTATAAATACTTGTACTAGAATTTTAATTACTCTTTAGTAAAATTGTTAAAAGGTTAGATTAAGTTTGTTTAGATTGACCCAATTTTTAACCTACTCTACTAAATTAGATTTACTTCAAGATTTTGCTCTAAGTTGCTTTATAATGCTTTAGGTTGCTTTAGGTTGCTCCAAATTTAAAAACTTAATTTTAAACCTATTATGAAGTGCTTTAGAGTAAGCTACTTCATTAACAACTCTACTCTTCAGATATTTGTGTAAAGTAATAATATTGGTAAAAAAGTTATACTATATATATAAGTTGCTATAATATTGTGATAGATATAATAATTTTATATTCTTTTATAACTTGGTTACTAATAAATAGACTAAGTTTGTTGCTAGAGTTTGCTTGTATAATATCATGAGAAAATATGAGTTGTACTCTATATCTTTATAAAAATTTATGAATAAATTTTAAGCTATATTATTTTTTTTTATATATCAGCAGCCTCACCAGTATCTTTTATTAGATCAAAACAAATATATAAGTATATTTTAAACTATCTAAACTATAGATCTAATATTACTTGGCTTCTACTATAGGTACTCAAGTGCATCTGCCTTATTAGTTAAAGCAATTGCCTATATTGAAGAGCTGCACCAAGCTAGCCAATAAAATCATAATAAGATAGTTTCAATTCAAAAAACTTTTAATTATACTAAATTAGCAATTTTTCTCTTCTAATCTATTCTTCTCTTTAAAACAATAATCTAATTTTAATTCTGTATTAATATTCAAATCTATATTATCTTTTAGTAAAGAGTTATTGCTAACAATCTTTCAATTATACTTGTGTTTTTATTTTCATTTTTTCTAATTTATTTGATCTTTTTAGATCAAAGACCTGGCTCTCAGAAGTCTTTTCAGATTCTTCTCTTTATTTTTTTTGACTCTATAGCTATTCTTTTCTTTTTTTTAGAGAGCTTGTATAAAGAATTTTTTCTAGAAGTGTTTTTCTGTGGGTCTTTTCTTTACTAAATGACCAGTATCTTCATTTGATTCTTTCTTTTCTAGATTTTGATTGTTCTGTTCAGGTCTTTCTTTCTTTTTCTTCCTCTTTTTTTTTCTTTTTTTTTAGAAGTTGGTTTTTTTAAAAACTTCTCTTAAATCTTAATAAAGATTTTCTAATTTCCAAATACTTTTTACTAAGATTTTTTCTACTATTTCTAATAATATATTCTTCTTTTTCTTTTTTAGTTTTTGATTTCCTTCAAATTTTCTGCTAAAATATCTTGAATCAGCCCTAGGCTATATACTTAGAGAGGGTTGACTATATAATTTTTAGCCTCTAGTATAAATTATAATGTATTTGTTTTTTTTTGTATCAAGATTCTCACAATAATATAATAGAAGTAGTTTATTACTTTGTATAATTAGAATTTTTCATCTGATTAGCAGATTTTCTTCTTTCTAGTGATAGTTTCTTTTAGATTTTATTTTTGTTTTTGCTTTTAGTTTCTTTTTATATTAGTACCTATTTTCATACAGTGCAAGAAGCCTATACTTGACAATCACATAATTTGTTTCAATTTTTGTCTGGTGATCATCTATTATATAAGTTAAATAATAACCAATAATATTGTCAATTGATTATCAACTTTTTTTAGTTAGTATGCAAAATTCAATATTCTTCGAGAACATAAATTTATTACACTAATTCTTATATAGCTTTGTCACAACCTTATACATAATTTATTTAGCATTGTATAATTTTGAATTATATATAACTTATTAGTAAAACTAGTTAAAGTTGATCTGTTAGCTTATTAGTTGATCCATTAGTTTATTCAAAGAAGTAAAGAAAGGATATATATTTGAATTTTTTTCTTATTTTAAAGTTGTTAAGAGATATTTAATAATTGTATTTATTTTATTGTTCTATTATTTTTTTAATATTTTCTGGCAAACGATAGTGTGATTTAAATTTACTAACTGTCTACTCTGCAACTCTACCTTCTAATCCTTTATCATAGGTATCCATATACCTCCATAATTTTCGTACAAATTTATGAATAATTGTTACTAGAACATTACTAAGACTTTCTGGAAGCTGTTTTAGCAAATCTTTATAATTATAACTGCATGATACTCTAAGTTCTCATTTAACAAAGCCCCAATATTGTTTGATGAAGTTATATTCACAATGAAACTTTGGATATAGTTCAAAAATATAATCTTTTCTAACAATTAGTTCTTTTAAAAATGATTGCTGTTTACAGAAGTCTGGTTGTATTGATATTATTTTTTGTGCATAGCAATCAAACTCTTCAAAATCATCTTTAAGTTTTCCAGAACAACAATTACATACTAAATTTACTCTTCTAACTGGTCAATACTTATGTTCTTCAAGTATTTTCTGAATGTCTTTTGGTTCTCTTCTTAATTTTTTTACTAGATAATTATTTGAAAATACTATTTTTTGATCATGTTTTTCTTCATACTCATCCATATACTAACTATCATATATTTTAGGTTGTTTTCTACCAGAACCTTTATTTATTCTTGTTGCAACCAATGTATTTTCTGCTATTGCATTATAATTAGTTAATTAATCAAAGCAAAAAACTCTTATATATTCAGGATACAATATTTCAAATATAGGTATTATTTTTTGCAAAAGCTATATTATAGTTAGTAATAGTATTAAAATTTTTGTTTTAAAAAAAAAAAAAAAGATAAAAGAAAAACCTGTTCTAATATGTGTTCTAACTTCCAATATCTATCTTCTTGTACAAAACGAATAACAAAAGATTCCTTATACTTAATATGTGAATTGGCCTAGAATTGCTCTTCAGATAGCTGCAATAATCTATAATATAAACATATAAAAGCTAAAACTATTACAGAATGTCCTATATACTTTGAACGCAAAATATCCTCATCTTCTTGGGTCTAAATTCTATGTTAACCATTATTTGTATAAAAGTAATATTCATCATGTATTATTTGCACTAATTTCTTTTCATCATATTTGAGTTCTAGCTCTATTATTATTTTTAGCATATCACCTGTAAAGTCTTTTATATATTTTTTGTACTTGAACATTCTTTCTAACCATTCTTTTCTATATATTATCACATTCAGCCATTTATGTTCATTATAATATACACACTTCTTTCTTTTATCATACTTATATCCTAATGCATGCATATACATATAACATATTTTCTCAAAAATTGTGTTTTTTGTATACTCTATTTTTGGCAATAATATTTTTTTAATATATATTTTTAGGGCCCTAGGTGATCGTGATTCTAGAGATTGTTATTGTAGTCATTCTTTATATTCTTTTAAAAAATCTTTATTATCAAATAAGCTTGTAGATTTTTTATATTTCCCTTGGCAATAAGAAGGAAGCTTTCTTGATTTTATATAGCAATCACCTTATTTTCTGATACACCTCAATATATAATCATCTTTATTCTATAGTATTTGTACAACCTGAATACTGGTATTTATTTTGCCTTGTCTATCTAATAATAATTGAATATATTGACTTATGTTTAATAGATGTAAGTAATTATATATTGCTTTTTAATGATTTTTTTATTTGATACTGTTTATTAATATTTTCTAAATATATATGCAGGATTGAATCAATATTAGCAGATGATAGAGAAATTTGTGAAATTTTCTGGAATAATCGTGATAATGATAGATTACTTGAACTCCAATATCCAGTAATATATTATTTGGTACTTCATTATCGAGTAATATATTACTCAATGCTTCAGTATTGATCAATATATTACTTGATTCTGAAGCATCAATTAATGTGTTACTTGATGAAGCATTGTTATTTGATATTTTTTTATTTTTTTTATTTTATTTTATTTTTTTATTTCACCTCCAGATTGTTGTTCTTGAATTTTTAGAATATACTTTTTTTGTCTATTAACTAATAATATCATCATCCCGTATGTTCTCAATATAGGTTCATTTTGCACTTCAAGTGCTTCTTATTTGGATATGAAGCAACCCTGATTTCTAGATAAATTATTTATTTGTGCTTATCTTTTTGATATATAAGGCATCAGCAATATTACCGTTTAGCACTGATATAGTATTTAGATAACAATTAATATAAATCAATTTTTAAAACATTATTTATATGCAATATAAGTGACAGGATATAAAAACCTATAAATTATTTTATTTATTATTATAGTCTCAGATATTACCAAATTTGAATGATGTAGATCATACCTTTTTTTATACAATTAGAATATTCTTGATATTTTTATTTAAGTCTATTGCTATTCTATACTAATCTATAGGGCTAAAATTATGCCAATTATCATTTGCTTTTGATTTGATAAACAACTACCGTATAAAGCCTCTGGGATCACAAAGGATCTCTAGACTACATGTCTATAAAACTATTTATATCAGAATTAATTCAAATATTTATTATTAACTATCTCATGATCCTGCTATCAGCTGTTTTAATATATAAATCGATTCTAGAGTATTATTTACTATGTTGTAGATTAATTTCTATATTTGGTAAAATCTGAAACTATATTATTGCAATTATATATATCTCTAACTATTACTGCAATGATAAGAGTAAAATGATTTATATTCTGTCACTTATATGTGATGCAAACAATTACATAATGCATGTGTTTTTCTTAATTTTTCAAAATCATATTATACCAATTGTATCATACTGGATACTGTATGCAGTACTAAACATGAATTATGCTTTTGGGATCAACCTGAAAGTTGAAAATTCATAATATTTATTTTAGTTAAATAAAGCTCTTGTCATAAACAGTATTTAGATTTATTTTTAGGATGAATAATTATTGATAAATGTTTAGTTTATATGAAATTGTAATTTGTTTAAATTGAATAATTTATAATATGCGTATTAGAAATTAAAATTTTTTTAAGTTAAACAATTTATAATATGCATATTAGAAATTAAAGATGAATAAAAAGTGAAGTTTAAATATTAAATAAAATAATCTTGTTAAGTTCATTATACTGTATTATAGTACCAGATTATGAACTTTATTCTGATTATTATACATATCATTATAATTAAATTGATCATGTGCTCTTATATATATAGTAAGATATCAATTGCACAAGTTATTCTAATACACTACTATACGTTTGTAATATAATTAAATTATTTTTGACAATTGTATGCTAAAGCAAAGATTTTTTTTGATCTGCACTGATATTTCACTTGTTTCAATTTTGAACAAACATAGTAACTTTAAAACGCATCAATTTTTTATAAAAGCAATATTTTAAAAAACTGACCAGTAACTTTGTTCTTTATTATAAGCTTTACAAAGTTATCAGTTAGTTTTTTGTAATATTGCTTCTATAAAAAGTTAATACATTTTAAAGTTACTATATTTTTGTGGTCACATGATTGTTGAGTATAGACTTCTTGCATTATATATATATTTGTTTTTTACAGATTCTCTTTTATACATATTTTTTTTCTTCTTTACGAGAAAGTATTATCAGATTGGTAGTACTCTATTGTAAAGTAGAAATTCTGACGAGGCTGGCTACACACCAACTGTTGATCCTGAAGAAAAAAAGTCTAATATAATCTTTGGACTTTTGGAGAAGATCAAATGTGGCTATAGCAGGTTGCGTCTAAGTATAACATAGCAGTTAATAGTTCACTATAAACTTGTATATGTAAAACTAGATGAGGTTTATCTTTGGTTAAGATAGTATAGCTGTAAAGATTACAACATCTATATAAAAACTTTCAGTTTTTCTCTAAATAAAGTAGACCAGATTGCCTAAAGAAAAAAAAATATTATATTAGTATATATTAAATTTGATTAGATTATTTTTATAACTTACAAACTTACTATACATTATAAATTTTGAATATAACTTACATGTAATTTACAATCTTTACAACTTTAATTACAAGTAGTAGAATTTGTCTATTTATAATTATGTATTAATTTTAAGAAGCTGATTAGTTTTTGTTTTTTGTTTTTTGTTTTGTTTTGTTTAAGACTTTAAAATTTTTTTGAATTTTAAATTTTGAGATATTTTTAATTATATTTTTGTTGTTGCCTTATTTGGCTTGTATATACTATAACCAAATCTTATATATAATCATAATATATAGCTATATTGCTATTATTTTTTTTTTTGATTTGAATATTTAAAGCTATAAAAACTTTTTTTATTGTTAAAGAAGGAATTTTTTTTTCTAGATTTTTAAAAATCTATATCTTTATTCCAGATTATTTAATTGATTTCATAATTGTTTACAAAATGTTAGATTATTTGTCTTTTATTTAGACAATTGAAATAGCTTTTGTCTATCTCTCTGCTAATATACAGTATATTAATCAGTATTTTAATAGAAATGCTTAATTTTGTAGTTTTTAAAAGATATTCTTAAGTTTCTTTACTTATAACTTATTAAAAGTATTTGAATAGTTTTTTTTGTATATTTGTTAATATTTGTGAAGCTGTTATTATATTAAATATTATTTTAGATAATATTTTTTTTTATTTTAAAATTATTATTCATAAATCTCTAGTTAGATATTATTTATTTGTAGTTGTAATATTTTCTTTAAATTTTTTTTAGACTACTAAATATAGTTTTTAATTATTAAATTATCTTTTAAACTTAATTAAAAATCTAGGTAAAGCTATTACTACAGAATATTTCTTTGTTTTAGAGTTTTTGAAAGATTATAACTTGTTTGATTTTGATCTATATATTATTTGTAGTTACTAATTTAACTTAAACTAATATTAGTTTAGAGTTAAGTATATTCTTAAAAATTAAAACATCTAATTTTTCTTTATTATGATTTAGCTAAAATGTTAAATATCTAAATAATAATTTGAATTTGTTTTTTTTTATATTAAGGTAATTTCTTGGCTGTCTCTTTTTATTTAGTTATTAGTTAACTTTACTATACACTAAGCTCCTATTTGAGGTCTATATAGTATACATATTTGGAGAGTATATACTAAAAACTAGAAACTAGTATAAGTCTGAAGCATAAGTATTATATATTTTTAAAAATAAATTTTATTTTAGATAATTTAAATAAAAGATAAAAATAATATATTTATAAATATAATTAATTTTTTTAAATTAATTTATAATAAGTACTATATAGTAAAGTTAAAATTTTATTAAATACAGTTAATTTTTTTATATTAAATTTTAGATTCTGATTAAAAAAATTCATTATATAGAATTACTATATTTTTTTAAAAATTATAGCTTTTATTATACTAAACTAATATTAAATTTTAAAAATTTTGAGTTTATATCTAGAGTTCATTATAAAAACTTCATTATATTTAAAATTAACTATAAAATAATTATATTTTATTAAATAAAATCATTTAAAAATTAAAAAATATATATTTTAAAATTTTTATATACAGAATTACTCACAACTCTTTTTGATAATTACTTGTACTAACTATTCACCAAATACAATTTGAAGACTCAAAACCAAAAGTCAATACTAACCTTAGGTTTTCTTGATACAAACTGTTGTCAATGAAGTCTTTTAACGTGATACACCGAGGAGCGGGTGTTTGGACAGTTCGCACAAGGATTAAGCCTTTTTCTCTTCTTCTTGTCTCGGGTAGACTCCTTTGTATATTTGGCATCCAAACCGGAAAAGTCTCTGGGAACAGCAAGTAAAAAGGAAGAACAATTGGAAAAACATTCTTTAGTTGGATACTTGCAGTATCTATATTTTTTTCTTCTTTGATACTTTGGCCACAATTTTTGACAAAAAGTAGAGAATTCAGCAAACCCTCTACCAAAGATCGACAATGTTTACCGCTTCCATAATGGTAACTATACGGTGACAAAACAACACGTGTAAAATGAACGGTGCTAGCAAATGAAGTAACTGGATCAGGTACCTGAAAGGGTACCTCATGTAGCATGTCATTTTAGAACATACAAACATATATGATATAGGTATGAAGCTTCAAAGTTCTTATATACTTTCGAATGATATTATGGATTTATTATAAAAAGAAGAAGCAAAGTGAAGTGAGATATACAGATATTCCTATAGTTATATATATATAATTTTTATTTTCTAGCACGAGTTATAGTGCATGTTAGTTTTTTTTCCTTTTTGATATGTCAAGTTTCTCACAACAAGTCAATATAAGTAGTTCGTTACTCTGCATAGATGAAGTTTTTACCTGGTTAGCAGGTTTTCTTTATTCTAGTGATAGTTTCTTATAGGTTTTTAGATTAGTTTTTTGACTCTTTTTATATTAGTACTCGTTTTCATATATGTATTTGTTTTGTTTCTCCATCCTTTTTTTTTTGGTTTTGTTTAAAATTTTTTTTTCTTTTTTCCTTTTCTACGAGAAAGTATCATCAGATTGGCGGTATTCTATTGTAGAATGAGAATTTTGACAAGGCTCGCAAACTACTAGTCGAGGATTTTGGAGAAAAAAAGTCTGAAGCAAGTTTCGAACTTCTGGTGAAGGCCAAGGGTTTGCTCAGGCAGATCAACTTGGGCATAAAGTATAAGTGGTTTAATGGTTCGCCTTGACTGCAAGTAGAAACTTGGCAATTGCATAGCTAGCTTGGGTAGTTTAGCTAAAGGTTTGAGAATAATAAATTCTAGAGTTAGTATGTGTCTCATACTATTAAAGTTTCTTCTCACAAATAAAGCAAACAGGATTGCCTTAGAAACAAAAAAAAAATTTTATATAACTACAATAATTTGTATTATTTGATATTTATTTTTTACAATTACTAAATATAAATTAAGAATTTTAATTTGGTACACCATGCACCATGATGCATTCCTGATCATAGGGTATAAATAGTGATCATCAACTGATTAAATTAGTTGAATTTTTTTTTGTTTTAACGTATTGTATTAAATATAATTTTTTTTTTTAATAATAACTT